ACGGCCACTGCGGAAGCTATATCTCGGCCAAAACTTGTCGGATTCATAAGCGGAATGCCTTAAACGATTTCTAGATCGATTCTGCATAAAACTGCATCAAAACCTAGAAACTTTATTTTCGATCACCTTTTTTCCAAATTTTCTAGGGGACCCTCTTCGAAAATAGAGAAGGCCCCCGAAAGTGGCCCACGGCCACTGCGGAAGCTATATCTTGGCCAATATTTGTCGGATTCATAAGCGGAATGCCTTAAACGATTTCTAGATCCATTCTGCATAAAACTGCATCAAAACCTAGAAACTTTATTTTCGATCACCTTATTTCCAAATTTTCTAGGGGACCCTCTTCGAAAATAGAGAAGGCCCCCGAAAGTGGCCCACGGCCACTGCGGAAGCTATATCTTGGCCAATATTTGTCGGATTCATAAGCGGAATGCCTTAAACGATTTCTAGATCGATTCTGCATAAAACTGCATCAAAACCTAGAAACTTTATTTTCGATCACTTTTTTCAAAATTTTCTAGGGGAGTCCCTTGGACAATAGGGAAGGCCCCCGAAAGTGGCCCACGGCCACTGCGGAAGCTATATCTCGGCCAAAACTTGTCGGATTCATAAGCGGAATGCCTTAAACGATTTATAGATCGATTCTGCACAAAACTGCATCAAAACCTAGAAACTTTATTTTCGATCACTTTTTTTCCAATTTTTCTAGGAGACCCTTTTCGAAAACAGGGAAGGGCCCCGAAAGTGGACATATGGCCCACTGCGGAAGCTATATCTCGGCCAATATTTGTCGGATTCATAAGCGATTTCCTAGATCGATTCTGCATAAAACTGCACCGAACTTTACATGTGATTAATGTTGTTTTTTCATATTTTTATGGGAATCCCTTTGAAAATGAGGAAACTGGACCTCTGAAATAGGGATTCTTTCGAAATAAAGCATTCTTTCTTGTTCAATATGCTTATTGCTTTCCGAGTTTTCCGAAAAGGTACCGCATTCAAAAGTTTGACTGTCACGATTCACGGTATTCAATAACTCAGTGATAAGTTTGCGCGACTCATATAATGGCAAAAATAATTAAAAAATATTAAGTACTTCGCTTAAGCCCCTCACGACTGGCTAATTGCGTTGCGCAGACTCACGATTCTTTTGAGAGATCTTCCCTTAAATACAACCGCCAGTTGGTACCAAAAACCAATCCAAACTGTTTCCAATCAAGATGAAGGTGACTCTGGCTTTTCTGGGAGTATTCGTGGTGGTCTTCTGCAGTCTGCAGACCACAATCCTGGCTGTGAGTCCTCTAGGTCATGCTCTGACTATTTTCTAGACTGAATTGTATTTTCTACTCGTAGAACCCTTTTGAAGATTTTTGGGCTTGCCGTGGTTTTCCACAGGCCCCCTCGTGCCCTTTCTACGACATTTGGAATAAATTCGCGGGTGGGAACAATGGATCAGGCTCCGGAAATGGAAATGTGCCCGCCGGATCGGCTGCCGGAGGAGCTGCCACAAATGCAACCGCTGCGACTGCAGCTGCGAAGCCTGATGCAGCAGCCCCTCCAGCTGCCACCCGTTCGCTGGGGCCACTGCCCCTTCCTGTGGACCTACCCGTAACTCTTCCAAGACTCATCCGTTAGGTGAAGTTTAGTTCTACACTTTGGCATGCCACTCGCCTAAATATATTATCCTGAACATTGCAAGAAGGTTTCGTTTTTTCTTAATTTGTTTATCAAATCAGAGTAGAATTCCTTTAGTGGCCCTGGAAATTCTTTGCTCCAAAACCTGAGCTTGATTAGACCTTAATCACTCATCGCCACACACCTCGAGGGCTAAAGGTCGCTAAAAACGCGATTAATTCCGAAATTATCAACGAATGCAATCGGTTATGAACTCATAAGTGCGACGGTGGGCGACCTTTTGACCCCACCACTACCACCTCAACCGGGGTATTTAGTGGACATAGTTACAGATCGTTATCCAATTAGTTAGAAGCCCGTGTAATAAATTGCCCGAATTAAGGTGCGGAATTTTAATTACATAATTTACGCGTGTGCGTTGCGTGGCCATCGAAGATCCAAAGGGATGGTACCGAAAGTGTGGCCACCTAATCGGGATTACTATATACATATCTACATATATAGTCCGGCCCAAAAAAAAAAAAAACAAAAAACAAACAAAGCGCAGTCGAAAGTGCGTTTGATAGCTCATCTTAATAGAAAAGTACACGCAATTTTGGTGAGTCGGGCGGGCGGGTCATTAGAAAAATGACAGTAATAACAATAATTATGAATTTTATCCGATTAACGAGAAGAAGAGAGGGGTATATGTAGTATATGGTCCTTCTGTATTCAAATATCTAGTGCAATGCGTGCCATTGAACAATTAATTCTTATCTAGTTGGGCTGATGCAACAGTCCCAACGACTTTTTGACTTCTGACCGGGCAACGGTCCTCAACGGTATTTCTCACATGTCATCATTGGAGCCAGTTCTTGCTCCAGCTCCTGGTCAGGTTGTGTCAGGGCGTGGAGGGTGGTCGTATGGGTGGCATTTTTCTTCCTGTGCACCGCCAGGCCAGGCGCAGGCGGAGGGACAATTGCGTGTCAAATGCGCTCAATTTTGTTATGACAATGCGATGTAATTAGAGGCCACGCATAGGCCGATGACGATGACGATGACGATGGCCCGGAGAACATAATATATGGCCCACTAGGCAGCGTTTTCATTTACATTTCCAGTTCGAGTTCCTAATCGCCATACAGCTCTGGCTTTTGCTCATTTTGGGTGTGTCGCGAGCACTTGATAAATATTGTAAATGGCCTGGCCCTGGAACTGCCACTGGTCTTGGCCCACCGATGATGACCGAAGTGTGAATGACAGTGCCTCGAAAATTGGGAGTTGGAGGTGAGGCCCATTTGCATGACCCGGGCAGGGAGTGTTCCAAAGTAATTCCTGCACTTTCCTGCTAGTGGGTATTAGCTGGGTTGGTTGGCCATTAATGAGGAAGGGAGGGATTTCTTTTAAATATTTTGAAAGTTTGGCACCCAGTCGCCTCCCTTTCACAGCTGTCTCTAGGTGCTTCAAGGTGCTAAGGGTGTAGGTGTAGGTGGAGGGGGGCAACTAATTAAAACCACTTAAGGGGTTATATACCTTCTTTTTCGAAGAAAAAGAGGAAAGTTTGAATTTTTTTTTAGGTATGTAGCAATTATTTAATTACACGGATGTTTTAATATTTTGATAGTACACTTTATTAACAATGTTTGTGCAAAATTTGGTGAAAAAATATTGAATAGTTTTTAAGGGGTGGCTGTTTTCCTTAGAGGCCTTTTTTTTTAGAGCCTTGCGGTGACAGTTCCCCAGGTCAAAAAGGTCAACTTAAATCATAAAAGTAAAAAAATTTCATTAGTTTAGAGTAATCTCTTGTGCTTGAACGATCGATTTTAAAATTTTTTGTTTTTGTTTGGATATGGCAGCGTTTTATGCTAAAAATGAACGTTTTGGTCTCTAGAAATTTTACTAAAAATTTATTTCGCCGAAAAAAAGTTTGCGCGTGAAAAGTCGATCGTTCAAGCACAAGAGAATTTCATTACGAACATTTTAAAAAAATTTGAAGTAAATCGGTTTAGTAGTTTTCCGTCAATCATTGTCACCGCAAAGTCATTTTTCAAGAAACACCATTTCGAGATATTCGCGTTTAAAGTTTCAAGTTCAGTTCAAGGCCGCAATGAGGCGCGCGGTTAGGAGCGCTGTAACTTTTTTTCTACTGCTCCAATCTCTATGAAAATTTGGGAAAATGTTCTCAAGGAGTTGTTCTTCAAGATAAACCACTAAAAAAATTTTCGTTTTTTTTTAAATAAAAAAGGTATATAACCCCTTAACAAATGCTTTCTCAACTGTAAAGTTGGCTATAAACAACGGCATGCAGACAGAGACACACAGCAGCTTGAAACAAAATTAAAAGGCAAATAATTTGCATGGCTTTTTTGCCGAGAGCAGCCGTGGCTGTTAAAAAATAGATATAGTATGTATGTATATATATGTCTGCATACATCACATATGCATGGAGGGAATGCATATGGAAAACACACTTATGTAGCCCAGCAAGCGGGCAAAGAAAACAGAAATTCCAACATAATTCCAAATAATATTACAACACCTGCGAACCATTTTGGAGTGGCCAAAGCCGAGGGGGCTCATTCACATATCACACATAACATATCACAGTCGGCATTACATATTCCACAGTATAAACATATATATTTATATATGTGTAAGAGGAGAAGGGCTTTTCTTGAAAAATCGCTCCACTGGAATTAATTAATTTGCCGTTGACGCTGCAGCGAGAATTATAAAAAAGGCATACCCTACACATGAAAATAACTCAGTTAATTACAAAATATATATATATATTTTTTAAACCAAGTCCCTAGCTTATGCCTTAAAGGCTAACTAACTAGTTAGTTAATCCCTGTCCAATGGTATGTTTCTGCTTTCTTCTATAAGATGAGTGCCATTATTTTCGGTTTTTCTTAAAAGTTGCCATCAGAACTCAAAGTACCGGGATTTGAGTGCAGTAGCTCGTATTCAAGGCGCAAACGCATATAATTTTTGATTCTGATTCGCCCCCCTTCCCTGCCCCCCCCTGGCCAGGTGCGTGGGGGCGTGTGTCTCCAGGTGTGTAGTGGCACTTGCTACTCATTTCATGCTTCGATTGCCGCTGGAGTGCAGTAGGATTTTTTCACAGCCTCGGCTCAGATCTGCAGCTCCAGCCGAGTCGGGTTGGAATTCTGCAATTTAATATTTGTTTTCAACAAAATCAAAGCCATTAAGTACAAATTAAGGTAGACCGTTCGGTCTTAGGTCATTTGCTAGCCATTCATGCATCAAAACCGACCCGTTTAGAACCAGTAATCGACCGTAACTCGATCTTGATTAGATCTGGTCTATAAAAGTGGTACGCTGCCAAAATTTCCAGTCATTCAGATTCGAGCCTCAAGACAAAAATGGACTATTCGATGGCTGTGTTCCTGGTATTCGTCGTGGCCCTGTGCCTGGGCCATAGTGCGTGGGCAGCTCCCTCGGTGGAGGATTTGGCCCAGTTCGGAGAGCTAGAGAAAACCATCAAGGAGCTCACCAACTCGATCTTGGCCATGAGCGGTGGGGCTTCAGGTATTAATAAAGATTTCATATTTGGTCAAGGACTAAAGTAAAATAAACCATTGAATAGGCGATGTCATGGGAAACAGGAACTCCAACAGCGTGTGGACCGAAGACCTGCAGGCCTAGCTACTGTAAGGTATATCCCAAGTGGGCTCGGTCTACTAGGTCTTCCTTAGAAGTTCTGCAGTTTCTCTGAAATATTTTGTATAATATTTCTTTTTTTTTTTTTTTCGTTTAATAAAGTGTCAATCATAATTTCTGATTTGAAGTGCTAGAATTCTGCCCAATTTAGACCCAGATCTAGTCGCTGTAATGCTGTATATGATCACAGATCTCACCCTTGAGAGTCGCCCTCCCCGATCTGCCGGAATCCGATTGTCTTTGGTGGGGATTTGTGGCTTTGACACCCGCAACCTACATAGCAGCCTACCGGGGGTTGGGGGAGCAAATTGTCAACTAAATCTAATAAAGTTAATTTACGCAATAGCACCCTATTTCCCCTCTTGAGCCAGAAGCTGCACCACTTCCACTGCCATGCGTTCTGAACCACACACTGCTCCTCAAATCTTTGTTTAGAGAACATAGTCTCGGTGCTCTAGTCTCATTATTTGGGTTCATAATAAGTTAGGAATACTAGAATGTATCTTTGTGGACACAATTGTTCTCGGTGCAGCTACTATCCCCCATTCAGAGTGCCACAAGGCAAAGACAAGGCGTCGACTTGAGTGCCCGACTGGTGGCGACTCAAATTGCCTTTCGCGAGCCAATTAGCTGGACGGGAGGTGCCTCTGCCTGGGGCTGTAGGTGGTTTTCTCAAAAATCAGCTGGCCGGCCAGCTGGAGCTTCAAAACGCAGCAACAGCAGCACCGCCAGAGCTTGCCGCATCCCGAGTGGATGTGTGTGTCATAATGTCATTAATAAAAATAAAAATAATAACAATAACAACCAGTGTGGCAACAACAACCGCACTATCCGTAAAACAAATCCAAACCAGAATCCAAATCTGAATCTGGAAACCAGGCCGGCAGTCACCTCTGATGCGTACCGCCGAGTAGTGCGATCGGTCTCGGTTTTTCCGTTCTACTATTTTTTTTCGAATAATTTTTTTTTTCTGTGTATGGAATGGTAGTTGAAATCCCACCGAAAATGCACGTGGAGGAGCTGAGAGCCAGTCTGCAGAGCTTCGGGTGGCCGGACTATCTGGTCTTCTGCCTGATGCTGGCCATTTGCGCTGTGATCGGAATCTACTTCTGTCTCCAGTTGCGCAGCGAGTCCCGGAAACAGAAGGCCCAGGGCAAGGGTGCCGAGGAGCTGGCCAGCAGTGCAGCCAGCTATCTAGTAGGGGGCAGGCAGATGAAGGTGTTTCCCATCACCATGTCTCTGATATCCAGGTGAGTCTGGCAGGGCGAGGAAGGGTTGGGTTTGGCCAACCCGGGAGGTAGTTTCATTTAAAGTCCCGTCACAGATCCGAATTAAGGCAATTGTCCGAGAAGACCGTCTGTCTAAATTAAGGCAGACACTCAGGGGTATCTTTCCAGAGACTTGCTTTGGAGGTAACCAACCAGTCCATTAGCACTACGGGAGCGCTTGGTCCAGTAACGAGCCGCGAAAGTCGGTCGCTTATTTTTAGCACACGTCCACGCCGTTACGGCTCCTATCGACGCACCGAATCAAAATGTTTCATAATTAATAATTGGCCTCTGCCACTCGGACTCTGGGGCACTCGGGCCCAGGCCGGGGCTCAGTCCATCATGGGCTATTCAAGTGTAGAAGTGGCTTTTGTGGGGCACGACGACAGGCTGATTGAATTGTATAAACGCACTCTGATCGCCAAGATCGGTGTAAGGCAAAGGCCAAGGTCCAGGGGGTTATGTTTGCATATTATACGGCCTCTGAAGATCCAGGGATGGAGGAAGAGTCGGAGGAGACAGTCATTCTTGGTCTAGACATAAAAGAATTACATTTTATTCAAGCTTCATCTCGGGAATCACTCTGCTGGGGACACCCACAGAGGTGTATCTGTATGGAGCCCAGTACTTGTACATCATGGGGTCACTGGTCCTGATGGGCTTCTGCATGTACTACTTCTTCCTGCCGGTCTTCCACGAGCTGAACCTGATATCCACCTACAAGGTAACCACATTGGCTCTGACAATCTCAATTTTTATCTCTTTTTCTCAACGTGTCACTTGCAGTACCTCGAGCAGCGCTATAACCGCAGTTTGAGGCTTTTCGGCTCGGTTATGTTTATTGTTGCTTCGGTGAGTATTAAAGGAGGATGACCAGTCACCAGCTACCCTTCCCTTGTATATAATCCTGGCCAAAAGCCAGTCAGTCATCCCCCCCACCCATCACATTCGCATGTTTTTTGTCTCAAATGGAATGACCCACCCCCTAAGATGGAGTCACCTGTTAAGTGTCTGCTGAATTCCAGCTCCTTTGGCTTCCGATTGTGATTTATGTGCCGGCCATAGCCTTCAACCAGGCCACGGGCGTGAACATTCACGTGGTGACTCCCATCGTGTGCCTGGTCTGCATCTTCTACACCTGCATCGGCGGCCTGAAGGCGGTCGTCTGGACGGACGTCGTCCAAACACTGATCATGTTCGGGGCCATGGCCCTAGTCCTGATCAAGGGCACCCTGGACATCGGAGGTCCCGGCGTAGTGTGGCAGAGGGCTCGCGAAACGGCCCGCCTGGAGAGGCCCAACTTCAGCACGGACCTGACCGAGAGGTATACCTTCTTCTCGCTCGTTCTGGGAGGAGTGGCCCACTGGCTGAAGTCGAACGCCATCAGCCAGAACATGATCCAGCGATACCTGTCGCTACCGACCCTCAGGCATGCTCGAATCGCTATCTGGACGTTCATCGCCGGGGTCCTGGCCTTCATCCTGATCTGCGGCTACACGGGCCTCCTGATATACGCCACCTACGCCCAGTGCGACCCTCTGGTGACGAAGCTGGCCCAGCGGAACGACCAGCTGCTGCCCCTTTTGGTGATGGAGACGCTGGGAAAGTACCCGGGCCTGCCTGGAGTGTTTGTGGCCGGCGTTTTCAGTGCCGCCCTATCGTCCCTGTCCACCGGCCTGAACTCCCTCTCCGCCGTCGTCCTGGAGGACTTCGTGAAGACGTTCCGCAAGGCGCCGCTCACCGAGAGGCAGACCGCCTTCGTGATGCGCAGCGTGGTGGTGGTCTTCGGCGTCCTGTTCGTGGCCCTGGTCTTCGCCGTGGAGAAGCTGGGCGCCGTGCTGCAGCTGACCATCACCCTCTCCTCGGTGGCCAACGGGCCACTCCTGGGCATCTTCACAGCCGGCGTCATGCTACCCTGGGTGAGCTCCAGGGGGGCGCTCCTGGGCGGCTTCAGCTCCCTGCTGGTGATGGCCTGGATGTGTGTGAGCGCCCAACGGGACCTCGTCACCGGAGACCTGGTCTACCGGCGGAAGCCCTACTCCACCATGGGCTGCAACTACACCTTCGCCGGGGAGCCCGGAGACTTTGCTCCTCTCCCCCTCGACGGGGGCTTCGGGTGAGCTAGCGATTCAACCTTCTCACCTATCATAAGCATGGCCATCGCCCATTCCGCTTCCATCACCAGCTATTTTTCCTCAACAAGCCACTTTTCTTATCCCTCGATCGCTTCCAGGTCCTCCACCAGCTCCGCGGGCGGGCCCTTCCAGCTCTACCGCATCTCGTACCTCTACTTTACGCTCTTCGGCGCCCTGGTCACCATAGTGGTGGCCCTGGTGGTTAGCCTGCTCCTGCGCGAGTCCGACCTGGACGCGGTGGACACCCGCCTGCTCACCCCCTTTGTGCGCCGCTGGGTGGAACGACGCCGCCACCGGAGATCACAGACGCCCGGGTCCGCCCACAAAAGCAAGGACCTCAAGGAGACTCTCACGTGAAGGTCGGTGTTGGATGGAGGAGGTCGGCCACCCCGACCATCCTGGCAATGTTCCTTTCGGTAGCTTAGCAAATATTTGAAAATAAAACACAATTCATAATTATTTGGGGCGGTGTGTGTCCCGTGCCGGGGAAAATTAGTTCAAAGCACTGCAGCTCTCTCTGTAATTAGAAAAATGCCCGCAGTTAAGGTCCGGGACCGAAAAAACAGAGGCAATGGAAAGGGCAAAGGTGCTATGGACCCGGCCGAGAAATCAAAGCCTGTTGCCCAAATAAAAATAGTCGCATCTAAACCCTGTTCTGTGTCAGAAGCTCTCAATACTCTATGTTAAGGATTATCTTTATAAAATTATATAACTTCCAAGAGATCTTCTTCTAGGAATGAGTAACAGACCTTATCTATAAGTTAGTCACATTATCTAAAATAAGTAATTACTAGTAAGTACATGAATGCCTCTCAACTTCTACTAAAGGGTATCGAAAAAGGTCACACAGCCAGGAGGAGGAGGAAGGTCGCTCAGGTCGACCGCTTTCAAGTGCCAGGCACAAGTGATTGGGTGGGACGCCGTCTGGACCAGGCCAGGCCAGGTCGGTGGGTGGGAGGTCTTCCAGCTAGTCGGCGGAAAAGGTGGGGGGGCGGCGGCCCAAAGGGTTTACGCTAGTTTTGGCCTGGTCCGTTAATTGAATATTTACTGCTTTTCATGTATGCGGTCAGTCTGCATCCGCACGAGTCCAACTATTTTCGTGACCCCCAGTGGGAGGGGGAGATGGCCCGACCTCCCACTCATTAGGTATTTGTGTGTTTAGGTCGTTTATGGAGCAAATTGAATTGTTAATGAGCTGGCAACTGTTTGCAACTTATAGTTTCTGATCGAGACCCCCTCCTTCCATCCTCCCCATCCTGGAAAATAATTAAGACATGCAACGTATGCTGGCGAACGAAAAAAAAATCCAGTTAATTAGCCAGCTGCAGTAGTGAGTGAGTTCTGGCCAAAATCCGAAAGCTAGAAGGGGGGGGCCAAAAGGGAGCAAAATTTCATCAGAATGCATAATGACAGTTTCCGGGACTGTTTTGTTTCTCAAAAAGCGAAAAATCTGTGTGTGGCACAGGTGTGCCGCCTCGCGGAATATTCACTAACTAAAAACATGGACCAGTGCCTGGGGGCCTGGGGGGAGGGTGGAGGGGCAGGAGGGGCATGAGGGTCAGGTCAAAGGACAGCGACAGTTGTCATATGGGTGGATTGTTTTTTGGAAATGCCAGGAAGCGGAAGCTGCAGTGCAACGTGCCAAACTGCCAACCTGTCACTACCAACTCCAACTCTAGCTCCAGTTCCCATATCCACCTCCACCTCCAGCTCCAACAACAATAACAATTAAAGCCTAACAACTACAACAACTACAAGGACGAAAAACTAAAAACAACTACAAAGGCCATCCCAACTACACACCCGCTCCGCCCTGTTAACTTGTTTATGTTGCCGTGTAGCTTTTGTGTTATTTTTTTATGTTGGAATATAATTTGCCCACCCCACTCCGATACCCTTCTGAGGGGGGTATATTGGCTCTAAGGATAACTAATCGATAGTCCTTTTCAAATACTAGATAGGATTACATGGTGGGTGTTGTTAGGAGCTCAGACCCCCAGACAAGGAATTTTTAAAATATTATAGAGTATCTTGGTAACGTAATCCTTTTGGTGAGCCTCTCTGGAACAAAGCCTCCTTTCATGTTGTAAGTAGGGGGTGTAACCTACTCCCCTCCTAGCCCTAGGCCTTATAAATGCCAGTGACAATTTGCAACGGGCTAACCTCAAGTCCTCAGCCATAGTTTTTTGTTTGGTGCCCCGTCGTCGGGTCAGAGGGTGAGAGAGCAAGGGGCAAGGGGCACTTGTGCAAAATTCATTTTTGATTGTTTTCATGAAAATGAGCATAGAAAAATTATAATTAAAATTCATATGGAAATTGTCGAAAAAACGGCAACTGCAAATGGAGGCGAGAACAATGGCGGCGTGTTGTTGTTGACCAGAAGATTCCATCTAAAAAGGATCCAAGAAATGCAGTGGCTACGAGTGGTGGGGGCTAAGCCGAGCTGCGGGTTTATTGTTTGAGAGGAACATGTGTTTTAGTCCCCCACTAGTCCCCCATCCTCGCTAGCTAGCTGCTTTTCCTGCCAAAACAATGACAGCTTACAGAATTAGAAGAGAGCTTCAGGGTTGGAGTTAAGGGAGGGTGGTACCTGTGCAGATTGTACACCACATGACCACCCACCACCCACACCACTTTGGACCAAAAACAATGGCCAGGAGCCGGGAGCTGGGAGCTTGGAAGCTGGGGAGTTGGGGAGCTGGGAAGGAAAACGCATGCCGTCTGCTCACTTTCTTGTTGTCGTTTCATTTTTGGCACTTTTATGCGATAAAATATTTAATTATATTCGGCAGCTCCGTTTGTGCATTGTGCGGTTAGCCCTTTTCAGCCCATTTTACATCACCTTGGGGAGGGGGACTGGCCAGAGAATGGGAGTGGGTCGAGGGCGAGGGCGAGGGCGAGGGCGTGGCCAGTAATTGCATTTCGAGTGTCTGCCGGAGAGTAGTGGTTATCCTGAGAGGTGCCGACTGGGGTACCATACCATAGAAGCATAGGTGGAAAAATCTAATCACTTGCTTTCCAGCCACAGGACATGCTGAGAACATCTAAGATGGTTTATGTGGTGTTCACGTTCGTTTAATTAAATATTGAAAATATTTTTAACTTGAAAGGCACTTGGGCTAAGAAAGTGTTCCTCCTCCTCCTAGAACCTCCACCTTATCCGGTGGCCGCTGTGGTGGCCACTGTAGTAGTGGTGGTCGTAGTCGTCGTGGTGGTGGTAGTCGAGGTGGTGGAGGTGCCCAGGGGTCTCTTGATTATGGTAATCCGTATGCAGCCAGCATGGTCTGGATGCTCGCCCAGCGGAGCCTGTTCCGTGGGGACCAGCATTAGCACCGCCAATAGTACTACCAACATAGATCGGGCATCGGGCAGCTCCATTGTTGGCAACTCGTTATCCTCCGATAGACTAACCGCGGACCACTCCACAGTCATAGGCTTTATAGTGGATGGGGGGGCAGCTCTTGGAGCTACCATTCAGCCGCCAGAAGTCATAACAATGGAGCTGAATATGTGCTATTATAAATTGCAGTCTCACCTCCGTCACGGCTGGGGGTCACGTGATTCCACCGATCTGACCAATCTCGCCGATCTGGCCAATCTGGCCATCCGGCTGCATTATTCGAACGGCCTTAATTTCGATATGGCGAGTCACCTCTCTGGTGTGGCAATTGCATAAAATTATTTTTCACAAATTAGTATTTTGGCCGAGTTTTGATCTCCAATCGGGCACTAGTATTAACATTAATTTCAGTGGAATTGCTGAGAAACTTTGCTTTATTGAAACTACTTGGGGTTAATATAACAAAAGAATGGTTTCGGGAATCAGTTTCAGGGTCATTTCCATTTAGGAAGCCTACCTAACCAGTGGAGCTGGCGGCGGTGGTGCTGGGACGTGGTGGAGGAGCTCCCCGTGGCGGTGGTGGTCCAGTGGAGTTGCGCTGATGGCCAACAGAGACAGGCTCCAGATGAACCCCAGCCCTGGCAAGGCTCTGAAGAGAATAAATAGAGAATAGTTTAGTTAGGACCTGATCCATGGTCGTAACTCACCAGGAGGCAACAGCTCAGGGCCAGAAAGAAGAGCAGATAGAAACGCATCTTGATGTCGAATGCTTGACAATGGCCCCCAAAGGTCCGCTTTTATGGCCAGCTCATTGTTGTCCGGTACAGCCATCGAAATTCGCTGCCTTAATTGTCGTGTGGCATTAATTGAGGTGTTGGCTTTATAATAATATTATTTCAGCCCATCCGCAATTACCGCGGGCAGCGTTTTTTTGTTGTCTGCCGAGTTGTGCAGGTCTGGGTCGAGGTTGTAATTTATTTATTGTGAAAAAATATAACGATACTCCATATATAGAAAGAGACTAAAACTTGGGAAGTGGGATTTGGAGTAGTCTTTGTAATAAATTGCTCTATATACTTTGGGTAGCTCGTCGTAAAACCCACAAAAATCCACAAATCCTGTACCGGGGAATATTCTATCAATATTCCGGAGTAATGCCCATTTGATGAAATGTATCCTGGCGAATTTATGCGTCCTTAAGAGCTTGCACGACCCCCCCTGGCAGCCACGTCCCACCACCCCACGTTAATGCCCCACGCTAAGCCACTCCAAGTGACTTGTCGGGAACTGAGCACTTGATGAACTGTCACAGGATGTCACACAGGATGTGGACGACAGGGATGTGTATTGGCAATGGCAGTAGCAGTAGCATTGGCGATGCAAGATTCGAGATTACAGATCTTTTACGACCTGTTCCTATTACCTGTCACGAGGTTTGCCGGGGCCATGTGGTGTCCCCTTCTCCATATGGATGGTGTCTCCATTTCCGAGACTGAGTCGAACTCTGACGAGAAAGAACCGCCATAAACTAGCCGAAAATCGTAAAAAAAAAAATCCCAATACAGCAAACACACAAACGTGGCCCAGTTTTATTGGATTTTTATGATAAGCTGTGCTTCCTTTTTGGGGGAGTCTCGTACTCCGGCCGCAGGATGATGATTTGAAAGGCACTTTTGGCACAAATTGCAGCTGTTATCGCTGATCAAATGGCCAGGACACATCCAAGTTTTGCCTATATATGTCCGTATGTATTATATACATATTAATCTGGGCAGTGTCTCTTCCGAGCACAATGCAAATCAAACAAACAATAAATTGAATCAGGACATTGTTGAATGTAACAGATAGCCCCAAAAGGGGGAAGGAGGATGATGGGTATGATGGGTGATGGGAAAGACAATGGAGACTGGACAAGGCAACGCAAGCTGAACGCCTGCACATCCTACAGACATTAAGGATATCCTTGAGTAGATGCAATTTTCTAACCAATATAATTCATAAATTTATTTTCAATCCTTTCCGCACATAAATTTTCATATTATGCACACACGCATATATGCACCATCCCCCCCCTTGCCGGCTTCTCCCCCGAATTTTTCTCTAGGCTCATTGTCCTGCCATGTCCTGAGTGGGTGTCTATGTGTGTGTGCATTATTATTTGTCGTCGTGCTTGTCATTATTTATATGGGCAGGCGAAAGATAAGTGGCTGCAGTTGAGGTGTCCTCCCACCCCGTTTTTAACTCACTCACCTCCCCAACCGGATGCAGTCCAGGTCCTGGCAATTACACAAGCACTGGCACAGCCACAGATTCAGGACCACAGATATATATAGAGAGAGCATGGACCAGCAGAGCGATGTCCTTCGTGCAGGTTGTTGGCCCATAATTTTGATTTATAAATGCCAACACCGAGCAGGTTCACCTCCTTCTCACATCCCTGCTCCCCTTTCAGGAAGTTGCAGTTACTTTTGCTGACAAACGTCCCCAGGTCCTGGCTGCCAGGATGCTGAAGAATTTCAAGGAGGCGAGTGTGCAACTCAAGTGGCCATTAATATATCAGTTCAATTCATATTTGAAATTTTGCATTTCCTTGCACAGGACAAGGACGAGGACGAGGACCGAGCCACCGAGCCTTGTCCAGCTGGCACCCAGGACACTCCCCAGGTCGCCAGTCGACCCCTCCTTGCTACGATTATGATTTGTGTCTTACTTAATGCACAGCCTACAACTTTGGTGCACAGTGCCGACGATTTCCAAATAATCCTGGACATGAGATGTCCTTGTTTATAGATTTTTGGGAAATTAAGGATGTATTGGTATTAGTTACTTTGAAAACTTTCTAGTTTTGTCCTCTAGAAGTTGGTTTTGGTTGAGAAGTTTCGAGTTGGAAACTTTTTCCAGTGTAGGATAACCCAAACAGAGAGGAGCTGGAGCCGAGAACTGCTGGCCGAGTGGAGGAGCCCGGCGTCGTCGTCGTCTCAATCTGATTGATTTAGAATTCCAATTGAGACTGCATGAAATATGTTTGCTTCGTGTCTGGCTTCTGGCCTATGTCGCTGCTGAGAGTCCTTCGTCCTTCCTTCCTGCTGGCCCCCCTCCCCCAGGCGACCTGCCTTCCCTCCTTCTCCTCTAGCTAGCTGCATTTATGCATGGGCATATCCTTCTGCGAAATTTGCATTTTCGAATAATTGCAAACGGCAGCAGCAGCAACAGCAGTAGAAGGATAAGCAGCAGCAGCAGCAGGAAGAGCAGCAGGACAACGACAACGACAACGGCGACGACTTATTGGTATTTCATTGATTTATGACACTTGTGAAACAATTTGGAAAATCATAGATTAGCAGCCAAGAGCAGCTTTAATTACACCCTACGGCTCATCGGTCCGGCACTTCGATTCCTCCAGTCCTCCTTGGGGACTCCCCTTGGTCTCTTTGACTCAAAAATATGCAAATTCTGACTGACTTAATTGCTCCATTTTCCTAAATAAAGGGCCAGTGCCACATGTTATAAAGGTAAAAATTAAATAAAATAAATTCAAGAATTGCTGGAAGGCAGTTTTTCTTTTTGCATATATTTGTGTTCCAATGAATGCTTTTCTTCCTTTATTCTACTACCTCGATTTAATATTCACTTTTCCTATTTCAGGGCCTTGAAAACATAGTGGCCCACTGAGGAAGCTATATCTCGGCCAATATTTGTCGGATTCTTAAGCGGAATGCATCAAACGATTTCTAGATCGATTATGAATAAAACTGCATCAAAACCTAGAAACTTTATTTTCGATCACTTTTTTTCCAATTTTTCTAGGGGACCCTCTTCGAAAATAGGGAAGGCCGCCGAAAGTGGACATATGGCCCACTGCTGAAGCTATATCTCGGGCAAAACCCATCCAATTCTTAAAAAAAATCCCTCAAATAATTCCTAGATCGATTCTTTATCATAATATAGAAAGTATCAAGTGAACCTTAGTGTAGGGTATTTGACGAGCTCATTTTAGCCGCAGCTCCTGAGACTCCACTGCCCTGATACTGGGCATCCATGTTCGAACAATTGAACTGTGACCCCAGCTGCCTCCTCAGACTACTCCCTAGATAGTCCATGCACCCATCCACCCAGAAGTGGCTCACACAGTCTCTGCAGACATCGTCTTTGCCACCAGCTACTCCAGCTGATGTTTGGATGTCGTCTGTTGGGTGGATGGGACGCCTTGCCTTGCTTGCCCCCCCCCTGAAAGCCTGGGACTTATGCCTCTGTTCGTGCAGTGATTAGGATACCAGGCTACAAGCGATTTGTTGTGTGTTGTTGCAATTGATTGTTGCAATTTCAATTTTGAATTATGAGGCTGCCTTGCCTTTTGCATCCTGGCATCCGTTTCCGTAGCTGCCATGCCCCTTTCTCAGTCCCCAACCTCCTTCTGTTTCTGTTCCTGTTAGTCCTTTCCTCCTCCCACCCCCCCTCAAGGCTGATGTGGTGGGTGTTGCTGCCGCCTCTGTGCAATGTGTTGCAAGTTGCATTGGCAGCGTCATTCAAGTGTTTAGTGATTTATTGAATGCCGTTAGAGTTGTCGTTTCTCTTGCTATTGTTGTTGTTATTATTGTTGTTGTTGTTGTGGCCATTTCTGTTGGTGGTGCAACTGCAATTGCATTGTTGCCAGTTGCCAGTTGCCTTTGGTCATATCCTCTGTCTCTGAGATTAGCACAATGGCTTTGAGCACTTTTGACAGCTAAGATTTGTTTATGCCCCCAGCAGGATGCCCAGCCTGCCCCAGCCTCCGTCTGGCAGATATCCTTATCGGGCAGTTTCCCCTGCGACCCCCGCCCCCCGTCTCCGTCTAGGTGATTCATGTCCTTGCATATTGGTAACAAATTTGTGGTAATTGATTTGAAATTGATTAATTAAGTCCCCCACACTCGGGGAAATTGCTTTTCCTTTTGAAACTTTGGATTTAATTCAAAAGGTGTCCTGGCCTTAATCGTTGAATATATGGGCTTTAATTTTGAAACCGGCAACTGCCAAATTGCCAAATATTTAAGCTAATAATATTGAAATTTCTGTGGAAGTTTGCTCCCAGCATTGGAGCACTTTGCGTGTGTGCGTTCCTGGCGAACATCCTGGCTTCCTTTTCTGGCAGGCGTCAACCGCATTTTGCAGCCACAAATGGCGGCCTCGCCAGCCTGCCACATTCCGGCAGCTACCCTCTTGCCCCCGTACCGCTGAGCCGCAATCCTGTCAACCCTATCCTTGAACTTTGGCTCCAAAGTTTTGGCTTGTTTGAACGTTATCGACACGATTTTGACATATTGAATAGCAGTGAAATGTGGCGGGCAGGCCAGACAACATGACAGACGTCTGGCAGAAATCAGGAGCCAGGCACCAAACACCAGGCCCCAGGACGCAGGCAGGCAGGCACCAGGCAGGCAGGCATCAGGATTCAGGAATCCAAAGCCCATCCCTGCTTTGTGGCGCCACCAGCGCACATGTTTGTGGCTGGCATTTTGGCATTCAGCTGCCAAATGGTGCACATGCAAAAATATGCCAAAATTCATCCATCCATCCATCCATCCAACCATCCAACCATCTAACCATCCAAGCTCTGTTGACACATGGCCTCTCCTGTTCGTCCTTGCGCTGCTGTTTCTGTTCCTGGGTGTTAACATACATCAAATATTGACAGTTTGCTTAGTTCACTCCGGCAATCGAAGCCACTTCAGCCAGTACCCCCCTTTAGCCACCCACTTGCCACTTTCCAGCTCGGTGCCACAGGATTGTGTGGTCGCCCGCCGGCAGTTGGGC